GTGTGTGTGTGCGCGTGCGTGCGTGCGTGCGTGTGTGCGTGTGTGTGTGTGTGTGTGTGTGTGTGTGTGTGTGTGTGTGTGTGTGTGTGCGCGTGCGTGCATGCGCGTGTGTGCGTGTGTGCGTATGCCGAACGGTGGGAGGAGAGGGCGAGGGCGCTGAACCTGGAATTGCGACGACACCACACAAGAGGGAGCCCACGGGTCGCGCATCCCACCAGACCGCAGGCCCGGGTGCACCGGCCGGGGGCCATCAGGGCGTGCCCCCCAAGCGGCCAGCAGCCCCACGTCTCGCACCCAGGAGCCAGGAGCTCCTCGTAAGCTGCGCCCTGCAGCCAGCGGCAGCCCCGGCCTGGCTGCGGGGCTTGGCAAACAGACCACGGCACCCCAGCAAACACCCAGGAGCGTTGCAACGCCCTGCACACGCGCTTCAAAACGGCCCCCTCAACAGCCAGGCCCCCACCTGCAGCGGTCGAGCAGTATCTCGCCCGCCCCCTTCACGAACGCCGTCGCGCCGCGCCCCGCGCCGCCGCCGCCTCCAGCCCTGCCGCCTCCGTCCCCATCAGCGTCCTCGTTAGCGTCTGCGACAACAACCGCCATGAGCTTGCGCGCACTCGTGAAGGGCAGCGCCCGCACGACCCTCGCGCGGCTGCCCAGCGCGGCCGAGAGCGCCTCGCGGCGCCCCCTGAGGCGGCACGCGAACTCCAGCAGCGCGCACTCTGTCCTGTTGCCGCTCCTGTCCATGGTGCGGCTCTCTGCATCAAAACGGATGCTCGCCGTGCTGTTGAGCGTTATGTTTGCCACCAAGAGGTCCCGCACGCGCGGCGACAGCCCGTGGAAGCTTCCGCCGCTGGCTGCGGCGCCGCCGCCGCCGCGAGAGGTGCCGCGCGCCGCGTCGGCGCCCGGCGGGAAGCTGCCGCTGCGGTCGGCGAGCAGCTGCCGCAGGAGCGGCTCGTCGCAGCCGTCCAGGGAGAGGCTTACGCAGGTGGCGCGGTCCACGCCCATCGTGGACAGCGCGTCGCCGCTGCTGCTGCTGCTGCTGCTGCTGCTGCTGCTGCTGCTGCTGCTGCTGCTGCTGCCGCTGCCGCTGCTGCGGGTTGCGCCGCCGGGCCGCGCGGCGGCCGCGCCCGCGCCCGCGTTAGGGGCAGCAAGGGTGGCAGCGGCGGGCGCGGCGTCGACGCTGGCGGCGGCGCTGACGCTGGCGCGAGGGCTGACACTGCTGCTGCTGCTGCTGCTGCTGCTGCCGCTGCTCCTGCCGTTGCTACTGCTGCTTTTTCCACCGTTGAAAGCAGCGCCATTATCAATCGAGGAGCACGGCTCCATCGCAACCTCTGGCACCAACCAAGACAGGCTGTCGCCACTCTCCCCTGCCTCCGCCGCCCCCAACGCCCCGCCGCCCGGCCCCTGCTCATCCGACGCAGCGGCGGCGGCCGCAACGGGTGCGGTCGCCGCGCGCGCGCCGCTCCTGGCGCCGGGAGCGCCGGCGCTAGGGGCTGTGTTGGTGGCGGCGGTAGCCGAGCGGCGGACTCTGAACATTGCGCGGTCCACCATGAGATGAGTCACCCTCATGTCGTTGGCCGTCAGGGTGCCCGTCTTGTCGCTGCGCTCGTGTAACGGTGGAAGAGGTGGGGAAGCCCGAGGTGGGGTCGCGGGTTGGGGCTGGGGCGGGGGCTGGGGCGGCGCCGGGTTTGCGCGCCTGCAGGCCTCTGGGGAGGGCGCAGGTGCCTGAGGCGGACGGCCCTGCCCCGCAGCGCAGCGATCCGAGCGCACGTGGTAGCAGGGCCCGGAGGACCGTACAGCAAAGCTGGCAGGCCCACGGCTGCACGCCGCCCCCAACAGACCCGCGCCCAAACCTCCCGCTGCTGCAGCACTCACGCCCAATCCGAACTCGCGTGAACTCCAACACTTGCTTCCCCAGCACCATCCCCCACAAAGACACGCGCGTGCACCCACACACACGCACGCGTGCACACACACAACCCTACCTGCAAATCGTGGTGCACCCCGCCATGGTCTCGCACGCGTCCAGGTGCCGCACCAAATTGTTGTCCTGCAGCATCCGCTGAACGCTGAACGCCAGCGCCAGCGTTACCGCCAGCGGCAGGCCCTCGGGCACCGCGACCACCAGCAGCGTGATCGAGGTTATGACGAAATCGAGGTAGCGCTGCAGGTCGTCCCCCGCGAGCAGCCACGGCGCCGCGAGGCGGCCCGCGGCGGCGAGGTCGGCGGTGTGGGCCGCGCAGTTGAACAGCAGCGTGCCGGCCGCAGCGGCCATGCCCAGCTGCCCGATGGTGTGGGCGAGGCCCTCCAGCTTCGAAGACAATGCAGTCTGCTGGCGCAGGGGCAAGCCGCCCCCCGCCGCCGCGGCCGCGGGAAGGCTGGCCGCAGAGGCGGGGCCGGGGCCGGCGCCGCCGGCGGC